CTTTCCGAACGATTCGTTATGCAAGGGAGCCATTCTCCTCGCCGAGTGATAGATCGGATTATTATCATCTAACTCGAAATGGTGCTTGATTGGGACTTCAGCAGGCCGAAGGTCGTCAAGGGATGTAGCAACGATACTCTTACCCGTCAGGGCGGTCTCGATGACTGCTTGAGCTTCATTGTCAAGATGCACAAGTTTTTCCCGAAGCATTTTCACGGCCTTGTTGATGACATTCGAATCAGGTGATTCTGCTTCCTCATCTTCTCCGATCGCTCCGTCCAGAGTTAAGTCTAGCTCGAAAGGTTCATCGCCGAGGATGGAGACAACATAAGTCTCTTCTTCTGACCAGTTTTCTGAGGCGAACGACTCGACATCAGAAGTGAAGTCCTCACTATCAGTCTCCGAATACGCGACGATAGGACTTACTTGATCAAACTCCAGACTCATTTTCACGGTTTTGTTTCCGATCAACATACTAACAGACTGGTGACCTAGATCGGTACAGGCTTGCAGTTCTTCGAGAGTTGAATACCCGATTAAGATATCAACTGGGGATCCTTCAACAACCAAGAAGTTCAGTGAAGTAACAGCGCCATTGAACGTGACAGAAACTTCCTCGATGGAACCTAAGCAGGTTGTCTTTTGTCCATTGGCGACCGTAATCTTCGTCGAGGTCGGCTTTGGAGACAGAGAGAGCTTCGATGCCACAGACGCATTCATAACATCAGGGATAGCTCGTGAGTCTAACAACGCTCTCATTTGTGTCCCGTAGACTTGTACCGAAACTACTTTCAGACGTTTCGGCAAAGTACCGATCGAAGCAGCTACGGGGCGTCTAGGGCGGCTGTTGAACAAACGACGGATCTCTTTCTTGGCCTCGTCGCCATCTCCTCGAATCAGTTGACCGAATGTCAAACCAGAGGGGGCGTTCGCGAGGGAAGAAACCACATCGTACTTCCCCGAGTGCTCTTGGACGGCGTTCTTCTTACTTGTCCTCTTCTTTCTTGTTCGACGGCCGGGCTTAGGAGGTTTCCTCATGTAGTTTGGAGTCCAGTACTTACGCGGGTTGAGAAGGGACGGGATTGGCTCGCCGCCACCATCCTTTCGCGTCTTGGCCACCGGCTCTCCATCGGCGTTTCTCTTGACTGATGCCACCAACTTCTCATCAGCAGGGAGGTCGTCGTGCGTCACAAAACTCACCTGGTTTCCTGCGGAGCCCGTCCGTGTACCCGACACGGCAATATCCGTCTGGGTCTTCTTAGGAGGGTAGGCACTGCTACCTCCCCTCTGTAGACCAATTCTAGCCCAACAGCTTGTCTCTGAATGACCAAATTTTCCGCAGCGAGGGCATTTCGTGTCCCTATGCGGATTCGCATCGCATCTATTAGCGCTATGACCCAGTCGTTTGCAATAAGAACAAGTGCGATCGTGGGCGGGGCGGAATGCTGTTGCGTCATCCCTCGACTGATTCTTCTTGATAATAAGGGAAATATCGGCTAGTCGATCAGCTAAAGCGTCAACCTTCGTTTCGAGTGGAGACAAGGGAGCTTTTGAACGCATCATGACCCTTTTCGACCCACCTTGCCCTCTCGTCTCATACATAACTTGCGAGCTCTCTGACCCCTGGTAGCGCGAATTGCTCAAGGAGTTCGCCGCCGCCTGAAAGGCGCAGAGACCAGACCAGAAGTCCATGATTGCATCGAATAGGGCCTTGTAGATCTTCGCACCTCGATAGATGGCAAACTGGGCCAACTTGAGATGTTCCATCACTGCGTTGCGAAGTAGTCCGAACTTCGCTTCATCGTTGAATCCCGCCTTCTCGTAGAGACGGTCTGAGTTTCGAAGGGACACACTGAGATCCCCGAAAGAAAGGCGAGCGGCCATCGCATCCCGAATCACATCTTCAGGTGATTCAACCGGGGCGAACCGCTCGACTAAGGCCTTCTTGACCTTCTGGTGGTCGGAGCCATCTGCACTGATATCTCCGTTCTTGACAAAGCTTGATAAAAGAAGTCGAATGCATCTCCCTCCAGGCAGCGAAGGAGTTCAGATGCCCTTTTTTCGTCCGACTTGCCAGAGGTGGCAACATTTTCGAACACGAAGAAGAACTTGTGGACGTCGGCCGGCTTCGTCCCGTCAAACTGTGACAGGGAGCCGTCTTCTTCGCCACCCCTCCACAAGAGTACCATGTTGACAGCTAAAAAGGGGGGCTGCGCGCGTAGGGGAGAGAGAAAAGCGAGATGTTTATTTCAAGAGGGGAGGTCGGTCCGGGTGTCGTTCTTGTTCTCCCCCATTGCGGTGTGTTGCAGCGCGCCCCTTTCTCTTATAGAGGGGCCGCCATCATCTTCCACTCCACAGGACCGCCGCCCTTCAAAGGGAGATTGTCCACGTGTACACCTGGCGTACACGCGAACCAACAAAATCACCTTTTTGAAGGCTTTGGTCCTGGGGCCACTCCTGGGTACTGTACCCTGTACAGTACCCCAAATCTCCCCCACACTCTCTATGTTATAATTCCCCTAGTCTATTGCGGGCTTGCGGTATTTGCTTGGTTGGACAAGTTTCGAGAAAGTCCACTTAGAAACCTGAATATAATATTTTAGAAATATGCTAAAGGGCAGGATAAGGAGAGAATGAGTCAGTGTTCGTGACGAAGCATTGTCTGCGAACTTGTATGTACGACCTCAACGAAGACAAGTGGGTTTTATGCGGAACACGCCTACTTTTATTTCATACTCTAGTGGTGACCGAAAGGTGTGGAGGAGATGGTGCCGTTATTGTATGTACTTTGCGACTTTGCATACGTCTCACTTGAATGGTATTCAGGTCTACGGATCTGTGGCTCGCAGGCGTTGATATGTCACTTTAATGAAGATTAACTGCAATCTCCAATGGTCTCTCAGTCTCAAGACAACGCTTCCTGACATGAGATGACAGAGTCTACTAAACAGAAATGCGTCATAATTTGCGGATGACAGTAACGTTGCCCGTAAAGTCACGAAAACGCGTGTTTTGGCGGCGAGTTTGCTCGGATTCTCTGATCGCAAAAATTTCAAACAACGCGTTTGGCAAAACTCACAGCATACCGAAAACTGGGGGCATGTGAGATTTCCACGAGTTTCACATCCGCCTGATCACAGCAGTGCCGGATCGACCCGTCATGAAGAAAAACGAAGTCGGTCTTCCGTTCTTTTCATCAGCACAAACGAGTCCCAGACTGCACGGGTCTTAGCGATATCCGTCATGGACGCCCCTATCGCTTCATCTGCGCAGAGTCCATCAATGGATCAAAGCGCCACAGGATCTGCCACAGATGCCGCCGAAGTAACCGCGAAAGATAGACAAGTAGAAGCTTCTAAAAAGCGGTCCCCCCTAAACGGCCCCTCTCAGGCTGCCAAGAAGGCGAAACACACCACCCTTTCGACTGAGAACCTTTTTATCCTTATGGCGAGTTACAATATTCGCTTCAGCGAGTATTCGCGCAGGTGCACATGATTCGTCGGGCGGCACAACGATGTACCAGACTTGCGTTTGTTGCGGGCAAGTGCCTTGCAAGAGGTCAGTCCGCAAAACTCGTCGTGGAATTTTTCAATCTCGGGTTTACTTGACGTCCAGCGACTTCGTGGGCAAATGGAAAACAAGGCGTTATATTACGGGCAACCTTCGTGAATAATATTTTTTGTCCTGTGTAGACGCAGTTTATGCTGATGAAACGACATGCCCTGTGTAGCGAGGTTGGCCAGACAGCTGACAATACACGACGCGTACGCACTATTCCCGTGATCTGACCAGCACCCACTCTGTGATCCCATGTGCCCTCCCATGCACCGACAGGAGCTCACCGCCGCCGCCTGTCGCGCGCCGTCCGATGCACCTCCCTACGGTACTACTACGTCTAATGGGGGCTTTAAGAGATCGGCTGGCGACCAAGTTGGGGCCACTGCATGCCTCTCTCTTTTCCCCGCCCACCCTCCCTTCTATGACTTCATGCCTCTCTCTCTTCTAGTGCTGAGAAACAACACAGGGGCTGAGAAACAACACTGGGGCATTAACTTCGGACAAGTCTATAGATATCACAATTCGGTTTATTAGTTCAATTCAGTCTCGTATCCTTGATAAAGAAAAGAAAATGTTGTTTCCCCTATTTCTCAACTGTGAGCAACTTTTTGATATCCGACAACTGACGAAAAAGGACATAATATGACAGTGTCACCTTTCGGAATAAGTCTCACCAAAATGAAGTCAAGCAGTGCCAGCACTAGAAAGGTTTTCCGCAAGAGTAGATACGCCGTATATCCTTTTGAGAGCTCTGAAGCGGTTGCGATTACTCATATACGCTTGGCAGTTTTTACGTGTGACCTGGGGCAAAACGACTACCCGATTACACGAATCAGCATGGTACTGTAGCTCAATTTTGGCAGGGTGAAGACGGGAGAGGGTTTCGTGAGGCAACGTAGTGTCTCGGGCAGCGTCTAGCGCAGCATCCATTTGTATGTAAGGAATACAAGTGTGAAAATGCAAACGGAGGGGTGCGATATCGCGGACAGCACCTGCATTCATACAGTGCGCGGCACCCGTGGAACGGAATCATAAATACTGGGTGGATACAAGTACTGGTCCATGTTTCCTTGCTTTCGAAACATGTATGGTATGCAGGCAGTACCATAAAAAGCAGGCAGAGAGTGGGGTATGCCCTCACAAAAGAATGTGGATGGGAAACATGAAGAGATGAAGGCGGGCAAGAGCCACAACCAAGGAAGACTTTGTGAAGGTAGCAGTCTGAGAGGGAGGCCCCAAAAAAGGCGCTTCACACTCAAGTTTACCACGCCTTTATCGGGCTTGTGACGCGCCGCGACGCACGGTCAAGATAATCTAAAGGATACCGAAGCAATTTTCTGGCCTCCGTCCCTATTCGACACGCCAGAGATATTTTTCTGCAGTCTGCCATTGACAACAACTCTAATCTCATACGTCGTGGGCCCAAACTGACAATTGGAACCATGCCTGAGCGTAGCAGTATAAAGACCCTTTTTAAAGTCGTCGCACGGGCGATAATAAACGACCCTCTCAAAGCCAGAGTCTACAACACCGCACGCATCAATATTATTATCGCCAATCAGGCTGCCGCACGGGCTGTCCTTGTTGCGATTATCGATCTTCCCGCCACCAGGCTCCGTAATGGCGAGGTCCATGTCATCGCCCGAGAACCAGAAGGCCTCTATGACGATATCCGGGGCGCGAAGCAGTACGCTGAGGCAGTCGCGCTTATCGTTCGTAGCGACGCGGACGACGCGGCCGGCAACGTTGCGCTCGTAGCTGGTGATGGGGAGGCGGACGCAGACGTTGTCGAGGAAGCGGTTCTGGTTCTTTTGGGCGTGGCGGCGGGCGAGGCCGGAGAGGCCTCCCCGGCCGGGGATGGGGCGGGTGAAGAGGTAGTCCCGCGGGAAGCGGGTCTGCAGGCCCGGCGGGCGCCAGCGCGAGATGCGGACGGATTGGCCGGCGGACACGACGCGGGCCTCGCCCGTGCGCAGGATGTTCTCGATGTCCTGTCCGCGGCGGCAGATGGTCGGGCCGACCGGGCGGGCGGGGGTCGAGAGCAGCGAGGTCTGGAAGCCGCGGCACACGAGGAAGCGGCACGTCGATCTGCACGGGTCCGGATCGGGGCGGCGCAGCGCGGAACTGAGGTTCGCGGCGGGGGCGGGCGGGAGGAGGGCGAGCAGGGCGAGCAGGAGCAGGGCGAGGGGGGGCGGCATGCTGGTGGCGGGGGAGGGGGTTGATGGACGGGTGGGGGATGGACGGCGCAGGAGGAGGGGGGGCGCGGGAGGGGGGGCGATGCTCGGCGCGCGGGAAGGGTTCGAGTAATAGGGAGGGCGGTTCTGTGACAGGTGACAACTATAAGCAAAGGGGGCGATAGATGACCGCGCGCGGGATTGCTTATAGTCGCTCCTACAAGTGGTGAGATGCAATTGGTCGGAAGCAGTCGGAAGCAATTGATGGATTTGGGACAGACTGTCGCACACGTGTCTTTGTGGTGGATCTGTGGTGGTTTAGGACAGGCTGTCGCACACGTGTCGAGTAATGGTACAGCAGGTGTGGCTACTGTACGACGTACCCTTCCCCGAAAGTATAATTTGGTAACATCTTTTTTAAATTAACTTAAAAACTACTTCCCCTTGCCCAAATGAGGTCAGACTGGTGGTGATGGATGCTCTGCGTTTGCTAATCAACTGTGAGAGGAGATACAGAATCTCTAGCCGTACTGGGTCAGAGACACCCCGAATTTCCGTTTATTGGTGCGGCAATACACAGATTTTTAGAAAAAGGTCTACAGGGGGGGTCTCTTAATTAGTGCACTTTTAGTTAGTGCACATTGGACTTTAATGCATCCTCTGATAGCTTGGCACGACTTTGTACAGGTGTACACGTATGTTCACGCGAGCACAATGGTCGTCGCCGTCCGTAGAGAGCGGGTTCCATTCTTTTACAGATCCCAGCAACCTTATGCATCTTCGAACAACTAATCACACAATGAGCACAACTGAACCAGCATCCAGGGCGTCAAGAACACGCCTTACCCTTTCGCAAAAAGAGGAGGTGCTGCGGCGACTTTCACATGGGTGATGTGGTTCGAGCCTTTGCGCAGGCAGAGCGATATTGTGAGGAGGTGCGTGTTACGGAGGCGTCCTATCATTTACGTCTTGCTAAGCGAGCGTTGAGCCGTGTCTATAATGAACACACGAAGCGTCAGCGACGGCAGACGCTGGTAACGGAACATTTCGTTGCCCCGTAAACTACTGTACTTTTTAGCGAGCCCCTTAGATAATGCACATTGAAGATAGTGCACATAGAATGCGCATGGCACGGGGGTGCACTAATTGAGGGAGTCGCCTGTATTGGTAATTTGACTGGCACCAGAAAGACCGAGTAACGCGGACGCGGAAACATATTGATGGGGAATGATGGGGAGTTGACGCACTTTGGGGAGGGGCTATTGTGCGCCTTTGGAACCGCAGGTGATCGTGCCCGCTTCTTGGTCGAGTTGCCAGGCTTTGAGGTCTTGCCACTTTTCATACGTTCCAACCTTTTTTGCTCCATCAGTTTTTTTGGCTTCTGCCTTCTGTTCTTTCTGCAGTTCTCTTTCTTTTTGCCGGGCAGCGTTTTCCCCCGCCTTTTGTCGCTGTAGCCGATCCTCCTCAATGTTTTCTGCTTCCTGCGCACAGTAAAATCGCAAAACGTCAGATAAATTGCAAGCGTCCCCAGCTGAATCGTTTCTCTTCTGCCCATGTGACCCTTTGCTTTTGGTCCATGTGACCTGGGAGCACTTGCATTTATGACAATTTTGTTAACGCTATCATGATTTGCATCTCTGCCCTATTATTGAGTTAAGTTAGGCAAGTTAAGCGGACTTTTCGTTGTTGACAATTTCTTTCAGCTTTTCGAAGACAGCTTTGTCATTCTGCCTCTGTACTGCGGATGCGCCACAATTCGATAAAGGCCTTTGTTGGGCTTCCCGTAGCATTTCCTTACGAATATGATCGTTTTCAAACCGTTTAAGAAACCTATAGTCCATTGGTCACACTTCAGTAAATTTACTGCTCTCTACCGTCGGTTTTTGGCCATTGCGTCCCGTCTGTCCATTTGCTTGGCACGCGCTGCCTGATGACGCATTCCAATCGACATCGAAGGGGACATGGATTGTGCGTAACTGGAGACCTGTCTCGTGAACAGGACGAGAAGGTGTTTGATCGTGGATCGAATACTACTGTTTGGCCTTTAACGGTGTTGGGTGCCCGCCATTTTTGTTGGCGGGACGGGGAGAGGCGAGGAGGCAACATTGCAGGGAACTGTAGACGTAGTGAATGCTCCAGGCCCCGGAGCGTTTCCCTGGAGTCCAGGGATGAATGACCCGCACCGATTCTTGTCCGCACTGCGCTTACCTCAGTGGCATGCTTTCGTACAGTGAGAGCAACGAGAACTGAATCACCAAATTAGCCTTTTTTACCAAATAATACTTTTCTGGAGTGGTACAGTGCGTGTAGCCACACCTGCATTTTCTCTTCTGAATTAAATTTCCTGTAGTCGCCTAAAACTGCACCACACGGCCCCTTGACACACACGTTTTCTATGAGAAAGGCGGCCGTGTGGTGCCGTTTTAGGCGACTACGTGTACAGGAAATTTATTTCAGAAGAGATGCAGGTGTGGCTACACGCACTGTATATTATACAGTATTATTTGGTAAAAAAGGCTAATTTGGCGATTCAGTTCTCGTTGCTCTCACTGTACGAAAGCATGCCCCTGAGGTAAGCGCAGGGCGGACAATCGGTGCAGTCTGTGATAACCACTGAGCAAAAGGGGAGGTGCTGTTGGCCAACGACATGAGAGAGGAATGACTGGGAGTCATATGAAGGAATCACCACACAGTCATTCATCGGAACGGCCCCCTTTCTCTGAGTGGAACAGATGGCTTTGGGGCAGATGTTCACTTAAAGATCCGATGTCCCTTTTAACGTATACAGCCCTAGCGGCTAACTATTTATACGAACATCTTTGTACTTTCCAAGTCCCGCAGCATAATACCGCCGCATCCTGAAGAGTCAACCTGACCCATCATTATTGGTCTAACAGGTATAGAGAGAAGTAATAATCTGCCACGAAATGCTCTCCGAAATACTTGTTGCACTGAGGGCCGTTCCTAACGGCCGAGCCGCGGGCCCGCCGGCCACCAATATTTTCCGATTTGTTGTCTCTGGTTTCCAGCCGCCTACCCTCCAAGGGTAGTGCTGGCAGCGTTGGTGTACACTGCAGCGATGATGATTGTTTCTGCAGAAGAATCATGGCACAACGTAGTGCATGCCCATGGCGGGGTTCAGTGCCGTTGAGTTGAAAGTGGGTGCGGTGTCTCAAGGCGGCGTAAGGGTAGATCTGGGTGGCGCCTGGGTACTTAACGGCGTGCCGCCCTCTCCTGTACATCCTTCGGCATCCCCATGTCTCGCTTCCGCGCTGTTCGTACTCCTCTTCGGCTCCGCTTCTCTCTTCCGTACTGTGGTCTTCAGGCGTGGAAATTCGGGCAGGCGTTAGAGTTAACTCTGGTCGAGCTGCAGAAGTGATACCACAATAATTCATCTGAATTTCAAAGCATTTCATCACAAGCGCGCAAATTATGATTTTGGAACTGGCTATGGGGGTCCCTATGTGGAACGTAACCCGGTTCGTACTGTTGAGCCTGGTGACTACCACGATCTTATCAAGAGTGTGGTCTTCAGGCGTGGCAATTCGGGCAGGCGTTAGAGTTAGCTCTGGTCGAGCCGTAGAATTGATACCACGACCCTACACTCGAGGGTCGTTAGTATCTGAAGAGGATAGGAAGGATATCGTTTTCAAGTGGGTTCTGATAATAGTTACTGTTCTCCTAGGTTGCTCGGACTTACTCATGGAGTTCGGGTCAAGTACGTCTGAGGTCAACACCGGGCGTACGGTCGTGACAGGATACGAACTTGCGAACGAACACGTCCCTCTGGAGGTAGTTCGCATAGGACACGGCAAGTGGGCGCCTACAGTGGTTACTCCGGTCGGGCATTCAACTGTGTACCAAGTGCAGACGCCCAAGCAGGTGTCTGAAGGTGACATCAACATTACGCCGGCTGACCTCGAGATATTGGAGAAGTCCAGGAGTACGGCGACATCCGGAGGCCAAGTGGTAACGGGAGAGACGCCGGAGGAGGGGCTCATCGCCGGTCGTAATGAAACATTATGGTTCACAGGAAGGGCGGCCACAGCCATCCTGAAGGATGATGGGGTGGTCCTCTACGATGGCATTAACACCAACGTGTTAAAGGAGATCAACCGAGGACCAAATCCCTCAATCGCCATTTTGGAGGTAATTAGTAACCTCGTGCTTATTCCGAATATGCCTGTTTTTAGCCTTGAAGGGATCGAAGTTGTGGTGGAAATGCTGGAGCTGCCTCGGCTATCTCTAGATTGCAATAGCCCAGCAAAATATCCAGACGAATGGGAAGTGGGGTGCGTAGATGCTCTGCGGGAACCTGGTACTGTATATAGACATGATAGAAACAGGGCTGGGATTGGGGCTACTGCGTTGACTACGCATGATTTAAATGTTGACTATGGACGTAGGGTGCAAGTGCCCACCCACCGTGGAAAACTACTCGCAGGGCGGAGCATGTTCGCCAGCTCTTCCACCCAGAGGATAACTGGAGATATTGTTTGGGGTAATGACTTCACAATGGCCGCCACGAGAATGACGGCCGTCCTCGTCTTCAGAAACGGAAGTGACGCGACCATGTGTCTGGTGCCATTTGGAGACCTTGGGTGGTCGAACAGCCTCACCTGTCGTCGAAGACAATGGAATTCTATTGAGGAAATGGTATCGGCTTTCCAGGCTCTGCAACTCATCACGGCTGATTATAAGAGCTTATGGTCCACCAAGGCTCGATGGGAAGAAGCTAGCGATCTTCAGGCCGTTACTAGAGTGATGTGGATATCTAAAAGCTTGAGAGAGAGGTATGGAACAGTCCGCTTCGAGACAAGAACAGTGGCTGCCATAAATGGCATATTTGTGGGTGGATTAATTATCATTACGGGGGTGATGGCTACTGGTGTCGCCATATATCTACTCCATTTGAAGAAGAACCGTGGTGCCACGAAGAGTTGTCGTTTCTTGACCCTTGACGGGAGTCGACGGATACTAGCAATGTCAGCAATAGACAGGTATAACTGCGGAAAAGTCCCGGCATTCCCACCACAAACTGCACTGCT